CATTCACCTGCCGAGAAACAAAACAAAAAAAAAAAAACGTGATCAATCGATTTTTTTTTTTTTGGATTTTCCAATATGGAAAATATGTTTTTTTTTCTTTTTAAATCCGGCTAATGGAGAAAATATTGATGATGATGATTATGATCAATAATGAAAGATAAATTGATCGATTTGAAAACAACGTTTTAAATGGGAAAATGTGAAAAACAGAAAAATCTTTCTTTCTTTTTTGGAATCAAGTTCAATTTTAAATGGGAGAAGAAAAAAAAAGTTATTCATTCTTATGCATCATTATCATCAATTGTTTCATCTATGGATACCCGAAAATAACTTTTTTTTTGTTCAATTGTTCAATATCAAGAGAGAGAGCGGGAGAGAGATAGAGAGAGAGAGAGCGGGAGAGAGAGAGAGAGAGAGAGAGAGAGAGAGAGAGAGATAATTATGGTTTTGATATTGGATGTTTTTGGAGAATAAAAAAAAACATCATTTTCACTAAACATCATCTTTGGATTTTGACCTAAAAAATATGAAATTTTTTTTTCATTTGTTATTAGTCAAAGAAGCAATGAAACGAAAAATAACAAAAGAAAACTATCAAAAAATCCCGATCATCATCATCGTTATCTCGATTCATTTTTGAGCAACAACCAAACAAAAAAATTTATCCAATTTTCTTTTCTGATTGTTGTTGTTGCACGAGCAATAAGAGATTAACGATCAACAATCAACGATCATCATCATCATGTGATATTATCTGATCAATTTCAACCATAATAAACAACAACCGATATGGATTGAAATAGCCACACAACAACCAAAAAACATTATGATCTTCCCCCCCGAAAAAATGTTAATCTAAAAATAAATAACAATTAAATTTTCCATTATTCTTTTTCATTTTTGATATTTTCATATTTCGATCAATTTTGAAACATTATTATTCAGGCAAACAATGTTCATTTTGATGATGATGATGATGATGATGATATTCGACAATGTTACAATGTTGTTGGTTGGTTACATTGATTCAACAGTAGATGTACAAAACAGTAATGGATTAACAATGGCCTGAGATAATGATGATGAAGGGTGTTTCTCTCTCTCTCTTTACCTCGTTTTCAAGCACATTTTGTTAATTAGTTGTTTAATTAATTAATTAATCAAATGACAACAAACAAACAAACGAAAATCAAGAAAATCTATTTATTTGTGGCTAATTATTAGGATTTACACTAATCTTAACAAAAAAAAAAATTAATTAATGAATGATTTTTCTCTTCAGCTATTGCGTTACGAAGGATAAACATTGATTAAGAAAAAAAATCATTGAATATCCCAAGCAAGGATACAAAAAAAGATTCATTTAATCATTTCAGTTTGGTTTGGTTAGTTGGTTGAATATATATTACTTATGTGTGTAACCAAATACGATTATTACAACCACCAACAAAAAAAAATTACAAGACAAGACACATGACACTCAATAAATCAATATTTTTTTTTCTGGATATTGGTTGCCTTGTATGATGGATTTTTTTTTGTTCATATTTTTGGAACAAAATTTTTCAAATATCCGATATTCAATACCTTCATCTAATCATCATCATTTCGGAAATGAGATACAAAAAATGTTTCTGTAAAAATATCCGAATGTATTTCATCAATTCAATTGATTAACACACACACTAAACGCCGAAAGGATTTTCGAAGGAAACGATCCCCGAAACTAAACAAAACTAACCGATAAAAATTAAAACATTTTTTGTAATTAAAAAAAATTATTAATAATAAGGAAATTTGAATAACAAAAAACCAAAAGAAAATGTAGAGCAAAACTTAATCAATTGGAAATTTTCGGTTGGATAAAAATAGCCACCAAAATAGGCCCAACAACAACAACAACAATAATCATCGAAGAAATGAATTTTTTGTCATAAAATGTCGAAGAATGATGATGACTTTTGTGAAGAAAGAAAGTTATCATTATCAGATTTCAAGTTTGAAAATTGTTGGAAAAAATGAATGAAAATCAATTGATTTTCAGTGATTTTCAGTGAAGAAAAAACATGCAAAATGTTCATTACATTACATAACATTCTAATTATCAATTTGTGAGTGTGAATCAAAAGAAATCAGAAGTCAGTAGCCAAAAAAAAAATGAAGAAAAAGGTCAAAAAAATAGTTTGTTTCCACTACATTTGGGAATCTCGTGACCATATCTGTGACAAAATTCATTTGACTTTTTTCAGAAGAAAAAAAATCAAAGTTTACTTTACCACAATCGAAAAGAGATTCGAACAACAAAATAATGACGACGATGATGACAAATTAAATCCAAAGTAAGAGCAAGAGAGAGAGAGAGAGAAGTCAATCAATTGATTCGATGAGAATTTAATCATCATTGAACGGGAAAAAAACCTTTTTTTTTGAAAAACATTAAATCATGATTGAAATGTTCGTAATCGATAATTGATAATCGATAATCAAGAATGATTGAAAAATCGATTTCTAATTACAAAATGAAAACAGAAAATAAAGCGGAAAACAACAAACAATGACAATGTCGATCAAAATGATGAAAAACACAATTCGAGTTTGGTGGAATCTTCTTTGAAACAAAAAAGGTCAACATTTTCTCTTGACAAGCAAATTGTTTTTCTTCTTCTTTCACCCAATTTCAACATTTCTGTTTCTGTTTTTTGGATTATGGATTTTTTTTAAATCTTTTCATATCAAATACAAAAAAATATAAAATATCAGTCAGGTAGATTAAAATAGCCTATTGGCTGTTTTATTTACTTATTAATTTTTATTATCTATTTCTACATCACCGGGTCATCATTCACCACCACCCTCATTTGGTTAAATAATCTTCGAAAAAGATAGTAAATTGAAAAATATTATTACCTAACCACAACAACAACAAACGAAACTAAAAATGAATGAAAAAAATCATATTGAAATATTGATGGACCACTCCATAATTATTGGTCATCATCCACAACCATCAAACATCAAACACACCATTCCAACCTTTCTTTTTCCCGATGATAAAATAGATCATTTTTGATTGAATGTTGTTGTTGTTGTTGTTGTTTCGGTAAAAACCAGAACAGTAACAAGACGAAGAAAAAAACCAAAAATCAATCCACTCACTGGCCACCGCATCATCAAATGTGGTAAACGAAAATAATGATAATTATTATTATTTATGGAAATTACTTTTTAATATTGAAATCAATGAATGAATCCTCATGCATCATCGTATTTGTAGTGGGTGAAAATCATTTTCATTCATTCATTTATTTTTGGTTGTCCATTTCACTCTCTTTCACTGAAAAGTAGATTGAAAAGTATATCGTCTTTTTTTATTTAGTAGATAAAGATTGGCAATTTTGTTTGTTGTTGTTGTTTTTTTTCTGATTTTTGATTCTAAAATCTATGAATAATTTTTTCCAATGAAAAATCAGATTTGAAAAAAAACATGCGTTTTGTTTCATATTTTGATTTGATTGATTGATTTGATTGAAACCAAAAACCAAAGAACAAAAATTTTTTATTATTAAATTTGTCATTTTTCTAATTTGAAAACATTCAATCAGTTCAGTACAGATAATCCTGCCCAAAAGATCAACCATCTGTGTCGATTATTTCGATATTTGAATGGAATATTTTCTCCTGTTTGTTTTAAAACTGATTTTTGTTTTTTGTTTTAATGACAAAATAATAACATGATTAGGATGATGATGATTATTTACAGCTGTAAATATCAAATAATTGACTTGGCTTGATTTGATTACAATCATTATTGATGGAACCATGAATTTTTTTTTGTTTCTGTTACTGTTTTTGTTTTAGTTCAAACAAACACAGCACAGAATGAGAAAAACCTTGAATGAATTTTGATTTTTGATTTTTTGATTTTCGACTCTCCCCTTTCATTCCATTACATTCATATTTTTAGCCATTTCAAGGATCGATAATTGTGCATTAATAACTTTCTAACTGTTCTTGTTTGTGTTTTTTTATTGATTGATTCAAATGTAAAATAAAAATAGATTTTTTGAATTTTATGAACGAAATATATTTATGGCATGCGAATGTGCGAGAGAAAAAAGACCATGGTAAAATTATATCAGGGAGAAAGAAGGAAAGCATAAAATCAATTTGAAACATTTGATGTTGATGACAATGAAAATTGGAAAACCATTAAATAATTTTCAGACCAAAACAATATTATTCACACCTTATAAGGAATCATTAAAAAATTTTATTTTTGGAAAACAAAAGAAAGTTTTCTGGAAATTTTTTTCCCTGAAAGTTTCCTGATTGCGCAATAATCGAATTTCCCCCATTTCATTGATTAATAATAAGATCATTTCCACACACACACAATGACCATATAACATCACTACCACCATTGATTGACTGAGTGACTGAAGGACTAGATAAACTCATCAAACATCAACGATAATGATGATGATGATAATAATGATAAGAAGAATAGGTCAAGAAAAAAAATCAAATTAAAAATAAACCTCATCATCATCATCAATGAATGAATGAAAAAATCTTATTCAAAAAATAGCAATTTCTATTCATTTCGCAGCAGATAATTCAATTTTGATGATTATTCAAAATTCAATTCAAATGCATATTGTTCATTCATTTCATTCATATGATTTTCACAATTTTTTTCTGATGAAAGATTATTATGTGGGTGATTCAATTGGTCAGTGACAACAACAACAACAACAACAAAATTTGAATGAATGAATGAAAGTGATTATAATATCAACAACAACAACAACAAATCATTTATTTTCAACAACAACAACAACAACAACAATATCTGATTTTGTAGGTCCCCCCCTTCCAGATTTCAATCAAACGATATCATCTTTATCTTGATAATATTCATTCATTCATTCATTCATTGATAAAAAAAACCTATTAATCTCATAACAACAACAACAACAATTTATTCATCACCAAGAAATCAAAGAAACTATATAAAAATACATTTTATATGATGTGATTATTCATTATTCATTTCATTTCATTTGAAATTTCAAAATGAAATGAATCCAAAATGACCATTGAAAAAAATAGCCATATAATAATGATAATCACACACACAAACACAAACACACAGAAATTACAAATGTATGTCGTGACTTTTGAAAGAAGAAAGAAGAAGAAAAAGTCGCTGTTAGATTTTTCAAACATTTTTTTTTTGATGAATTTTCATTTTGGATTTTGTTTCATTATTATTCATGCCATTTAAGCAAGAAAGATTTTTTGGCCAATAATAACAACAACAACGGTCGGTCGGTTGGTCGGTGTCATTGAAAAGTAATAAACAAATCATCATCATTGATAACTGTGAAATAATATCGATCGATCGATGTATTAAACCAAATGATGAAATGGAAAAAATGGGCAGTTAAATCACGACAAACAGCAACGATATTCATTTGCGAATGATGATGCAAACAAATTCCATTTTTTTTCTTCGTTTCAAAATATTATTATTAAATATCGATCAATTCAAATGAGAATTTTATACGAATTGAAAGTATACAATAAGGTCAATACAAATGATTAAGTTAAAATAGATGAAAATTAGCTTTGAGATTTAGATTATTGATCAATAATTTAATCGAAATGAATCAATTCAATTTTCTGTTAATTTTAGCTTAAATCACAGCCGATCAATACATAGATAGATCGATAGATAAATTTGAACAATAAACATGTTGTGGCTGTTGTGTTTTTAAAAATATCATCATCATCAACAATAACATAATAACATCGTGATCATTAATATCTTTACCATTCAATATCCATTCGGTTATCGATCAAAAAACGCCATCAATATGTGATCCATTCAACCAACCAACCAACCAACCAAGCAACAAGTGATCAGCAGATGATCAGAAAAAAATGTATACATATCGAATTGATGCCATGAGAAGCGGAAACATTTTACACAAACAACAGCAGCTTTTTGTTTTCGCGTTAGTAAACATCTTTTGTCTATTTATCTTCGAATAGCGGTAGTTTTTTTGTATTTAATAAAACGATAAAAATAACGATATGCCGGATATATAATAATCGATAGTATCGATCGATAGTAAAACATTCGAAATAGAAAAAAAAAACATTCGAATTCGATATTTTATATTGTTCTTGTTTTTATTTTGGGGGATATATTTTCGAAGAATTTATATTTGGATCCATCATTATCATCTTATTAATATCATCTAATGGATGATAATGATAACGACGACGACGACGATGATAACAACAATAGACGATGTTGTTGTTGTCCATATTGTTAATCGTTTTGTTTTGTTCTTCAAATCAGATAAAGATTAGTTTTTCTTCAATGTTTTTCAAGTCGTAAAAGAAAGATAAGAGATATGATGATGATTGAAAACAAAATTGATCGTCAAATAAAATTTCATCATTCATTCAGCAAAACTATCAATTGTGAATGAATGTAAAAAAAGGTAAGAAAGAAAAATCTCAATCGAAGTGAATATTAAATATAAATTTTTTCTGTTTTCCCTTTTTCACCTTGCAGCTTTCATTTGATATTCCAAAAATATAAATTCATAATATTAAAAACAAAAACAAAAAAATCTAATAATAATAATAATAATAACGAAATGATAATGTGATTATCATTGAGATCTATGCAATAACGACAACAAATCTTAATAATAACGAACGAACGAACATAAACAAGGTGAATGGAATTACTGAAAAACAACAACAACAACAACGAAAAAACAAATTGATCACCATCATTATATCCAAATCAAATAGGATTGATTGATTTGATAGATTTTCAACAACAACAACAACAACTAAATCTGATTGACTATAGATAATTCGACGTTTTCAAAGTTTTTTCCATCATCATCATGGATAAAAATAGCGCCATATTTGAAAACATGTCATGTGTGTGTGTGTTTACGGTATTTATTCAAACAAATTTTTTTTTGTTTCTGGTTTGTAAATTGAATGAATGAATGCAATTCGAATGTATTTTTGTTTATTTACCACGTAGAAATAATCATCATCAAAGAGAAAGAAAAACAACAAGATAATACTATTGATGCATGATCGATCAATTCATCTAACTGGAAAAAAAAAACAAAACTCAACTAAACCATCATTATCATCCGCATCATAATCATGTTTTGTTTCTGAAATTCAAATGAAAAAACAATCCATTTTAAAATTATAATCTAATGATGATGATGTGATTAAAGCAAAATTAAAATTCAAGTTGACCTCGGTCAATGATGATGTGACATTACATTTCGACTTAATTTTGTTTGTTTGAAAAAAAATGTCAAGTTAATTTCATTTCCATCATTATGATTGTTATATGACTTTTTTTTATTCTCGTAAAAAAATCTACAACAAAAACAAAATTGTCAACATCATCAACGAATCAAATGAAATGATGACCAAACAAACAAACAAACAATCATCGTAATTATCATGATGACCAACATCCTAATGAAAAAATGAACAAATTTTTTTTATTTGTTTGAACCCGGTAATAATAATGATTAAAAATTCATGAATTTCACATTCATTAAAAATTCATTGGGCAAACAAAACAAAAAGATATTTCCATTTTTCATTAATAATTGTTCTTATTATGATCATCATCATCATTCCTGACAACAACAACAACAACAGCAAATTTTAAAGTTTTTTTTTCTAATTTTCTTTCGTGAAAATTATAATAAAAAAACTCTGTGAAATTACACCATTTTAAAATGTGAACAGGATGAAAAAACAAGAAACGAAAAAGATGATTATCATTATGCAAACATACAACACAAGTCTATAAATCATGTCATTTGGTTGTTGTTGTTGTTGTTGTTGTTGTTGGTGATCATTATTATCAAATCAATAATAATAATAATAATAATCACCCATAATGGTTGACAGGTATTATATTTTGTATTTTGTATAAATATTTATTTAGTTAGCTGGTTTCTTTTTTCTTTTTCTTCTTCCCTATCCTGGTTATTTAGCAGTTGTAGTGTAGATGATATTTTGTGACACCATACCAGGTTTTAGTTATTTCTCTCTTTCTAAATCTTTACATAAATCTTATGATGTATGATATGGGTGAAAAAAAACGAAAGAAAAATTCATATTTTCATCATATTCAAACAGAGAAAAAAAAAGATAAGATTTATCCGGTATGGAAAAACTTGTAAACCTGGAAATTTATTTTAATTTCTAAAATTGAAAATCAAACAAATTAATTTACCTTGATCATTAGTTTTTTGATAAAGTGTTTTCGGATGTACATAACCATCTTTATGTAAATGAACATGTGATGGATCAGTAACGAGGTAACAATTTTGATGATTATGATGACTAGTATTATTATTATTATTATTTGTAGGTTGATAATATTGACGAAAACATTTAACAATTTGATAACATAATGCCCATGCTTGTTCTTCATTAATAGCTGTTTGAAATGATTGTAAAATATTGGCTAGATTAAGACATTGATCATTATCTAATGTACATTTGACTAGTTGTTGTTGTTGTTGATTATTTTGATTATTGGTCATACGATGATCATGTTGATGTTGTTGATGATTCTGACGACCATGTTGTGGATGATGATATTGATGATGTTGATGCGAATGATGATGGTGATCAGTATTCATATGCATCATTCGATCATGAATATTTGATGATGATAATGTTGGTGGAATCATTTCAATAATTTCATCATCGTCATCAACTTTTTATATCAAATTTTTTTGAATTGCCCCAACAAAAAAAAACGATTATAAAATGGATTAAAATACACAGAGAATGAAACAGATCAAAGATTAACCGACAAAATTTAATCAAATAAAAAAAGAATGATTAAAATTTCACTCAGAAAAAAAAAATGTCCTGACAACCACAACCAACAAAACAAAAATATTCTGGCCAAGGTAAACAAAAAAAAAACACCACTCCACTATTGGATTCAGAGTTTGAGCAGAATCCTGATCCTGAATACTGGTTGCTTTTACTGGATGGCGATGGTGTTGGGGTGATCCACATTTTCAAGTATCCACTATATCCACTGTGTATAGTGCTATATATGGAAATCCTATGGGAATTTTTTTTTAGATTTCACAAAATTCAGAAATGCGCAGATGCAAAAACATCAACAAACAGAAAATTCTTTTATCAAGTCGATGAAGGGGGATGAAAAACAAAATGTAAATCTTGAATCTTGAATGACGTCGAACAATTCAAAAGATGAAAATTCAAGTGGTCTGGATTGATTGAATCACATACAAACACCACACATATGCTTTTTGATCACAAAATCAAAATCAAGCAAAAATCTCCACATCACACGTCAATCAAAAACAGAAATAAAAAGTTACGTAGTTGTTTGCATCCAAAAAAAAACTTGATTATTTTCTGGAACAAGACAAAGCTGAACTGAACAAGATGTTGCAGGGTTAAAATAATTGCATGTTTGTTGTCGGTTGCTGTTGTTTTTCGTTGATTTGATTTGATTTTGATTTTGATTTTGAATTCAAATTAAATTCAAATTGAAAATTGACATTTGAAAAAAAAAACAATAAAAAAACAGCAGCAGCCATATAACACACACCATATGGAGTGACTGAAAGAAAAACAAACAAACAAACTCTTTCAACACTTTTTGTTGTTGTTGTTTTCAATTATGTAACATGGTTATTAATGAATTTCTTGTTTGATGATGATGATGATGATTGCCCAGCTGATTTTTGATTTGATTTGATGATGAAAGTGAAAATGGAAAATGAATGGAAATGAAATATCAAGGAAACACACGAAAATAGCATACCATATAAAGGCATTTTCAGTTTGCCTACCTTTTTCCATTTCACTACTGCTGTTACTAATCAGCAAAATCTCAAATGAAACATTTGGTCAGCCAAAAGTGGAAACAAAAAATAATAATAATAATTTTTTTATTGAAAGTTTGAAAATCAATTGTGTGTATTACGTGATTGAAATTGTATAGGACGATTGATCGATCGATCTATGGATCGATCGATCGAAATCAATAATATCTACTTGTTGTTGTTGACCATATATTTTTTTTAAAACATCATTATGAAATTGATTATGAAATGAATATAGTGGAGGGGAGAGAAAATGTTACAATTAAAAACGAAACAAAAAAAAGCAAAATTGAATTTGTGTTCACAATGTGAAATGAATGAATGAATGATTGATCTGAATATTTGGAAACAAAATTCACTTGAATAAATTCAATTTGAAACAAAACACCTGCATCAAAACACAGAAAACCTTTTCCTTTTCTTTTCATTCATTCATTTTGCATTTTGTTCAATGAAAAAATATTGTAACTTTTTTTTTTGAATACTAAAAAAAATAAAATTATAGTTTGGATGCACCAAAACACAAACACAAACACAGATGGCATTTATCTATTATCAACACGAATAATTATGGCATATAAAGGGTTAAATAATAGGCACTTTGTTTTTAATATTGTCGGTTTTTTGTTTTCTGGTTTGTGGAACTTTGATAAACCACACGACGATGATGATGATGATAAACATGGATTTTGTTTTTGCCATCAACATGAAGACGATGAAAATCTTTCTTTCTCTCTCTGTTTATCTCTTTTCCAAATTGATGATGATCATCATCATCAATGTTGAAGAAGAGTTTTCATCATAATCATCATCATCATAAAATCAAATCAAATCAAAAAAAGACTTGGGAGCAAGGCAAAGCAAAAACTCAAGAAAAAGAGAAACAAGAATTTGATTGAAATGAAGAGAGAGAGAGAGAGAGAGAGAGAGAGAGAGAGAGAGAGAGCAGCAAGATGTGTACAGGTAGGATTCAAGTAAATTTTAAACAAAAGTTATTGAAGATTTTTTTTTCATTGTTTTCGCTTCTTCGTTCAATTCATTGTCATTGCATGGTGCGTGGTGGTTGATAAACATGAATTTTTGATTTCAATTTTTTTTCTTCTTCGATAAAAAGAGTTTTTTTTTATCAATAGCTAATCGTTCTTCACCCAATCAAATAAAATAGAAAATTTTGTTTGTATCAAATTTCACTTTTGCTTCGATTTGATTTGATTTGATTGATTGATTATCAAACTAATTCGGATTTTGGATTTTTTTGGTATTTAGATTTGATGATGATGATGATCATCTTCATTCATTGATAAATATTCATATTTAAATGGGGATCGGAAACAAGAAAAAAACGGAAAGAAAACAAGAAAGATTTGATTGAATTGAATTTATTTTGGCTATTGGATTTTGTTCAACCACAAAAAAAAATGAAGCTTATTCATTGAAATGAGGAAAATTTTGATTGATTTCGAATAATAATAATGGCGGAAATATAATCAAATTACAAATGACAAAACAATTGAACGAAAAAAAAATCTTCTTCTTCGTTTCAGGAAAAACTTTCTTTTTTTTTGATACGATTAAAATTTCAAAATAGCAAAAAGAAAAATTGATCCAAAAAACGAACAAATTTTTCGGATGATCAATTTGGAAAAACAAAATAATTTTTCTGGAAAAAATGAAAGTGAAATATATCCCTGATGATGAAGAAAAAGCAAGATTTCTCCAAGTAAAGCAAAAAGTATTTTAAGATTTTCATTTTTCGAATACGATTTATGAATACATAAAATGAAAATTTTCATTATTCAAAATGATGAAAACCTTATTTCAAAAAAAAAGTTTTCATTTTCATTTTTCGTTTATTATTTGAATCCTAGAAAAGAAAAAAATCAATTTCAATTTCGATTGATTGATCGATCGATCAATCGAAATCAAATGTAATTTGATAATAATAATCAATGACGAAAGACAAAATGTGAGAATTCTTTTTTGAGAAAATAAATTAATTTAAAAAACAACAATTAACGATTAACATTTGAAAAAAAAATTGAAAAATTTCTTTTAAAAAATTGAACCGGGAAAATGATTTTCCCGGTTGTTAATATCCACCATATCCATCATATTTATCGTATTTTTTATCGTTACCACCATCACTGCCGCCGCCACCACTGCTTCCACCAAAATTAATACCATCTTGACCACGAGCGATAAGTGTTTGTATACGTTCCTGTACTGGGCGTACTTCTTGTGTAACCTGTCGATATGGTGAAATAATTTCACGAACTTCTTGTATGATTGGTTTACGAATATTTTGTATAAGTACATCTGGTTCATCGATTGCATTTTGTTTATAAACCTGTCCAGAATGGCTAAAATGTTTTTGAATCGGTAGAATTCTTGTTGAATGTGAATTAAAACGAAGTGTTAATGGTAATGGTTCAGAATTTATATCAACAACAGGTGTTTTGCCCATATGTTTTGATCCAGAAACCGGTATGATTTGTACAGAATGTTTTGAATGAATTGCAGCATCCACACCATTCATTGAATAACCACCGCCATCACTATGACCACCATATGATGCATAACAGGCACCAAAAAACAAAAAAATTGATGCCTGTATTCGAAGCAAAAAAAAACAAACAAAAAAAAGGAAAACCAGGTAAGCACAGGTAAACACCAGGTAAAAACAAATGAAAAAAACTTACAATGTATTTGATCATATTGAAGAAAAAAAAAGATATGTTTCGTTCGATGATTTGACAACAACGATGGGTTAAGTTTTGTTCGTTTATTTTGTTTCGTTTTGGTTTGAAATGAAATTCAGATTGTGAACCTTTTGTTTGTTGGTGACCAAGGTATTTATACCTGCTAAAATGGCCAACCACGATTTTCTTTGTTTTTTCATTTCGTTTTGCAAACGTAAATGTAAATGGCTTTTTTTTGACAGATCATGAAAAATTACCGACCAAAAACTTTAAAAACGAAAAAAAAATAGTTTTTAATTGTACAAATTATCACCTCAAAGTAATCAAAAGTAAAGTAAATGGTAAATGGTTTATGTAGCGGTACTTTTGTTGACATAGATATTTTGAACAATCATAAATCTCAAATCTCCAAACAAAATCCAAAACAAATCAATCAAACAAATGAACAAATTGTGGTGACATATAGATAGACAGAAAAGAAAAACAATTGATTTGTTATCTGATGATAATCAAAGAAAATCGATGAATAAATTTTAAATGCGAGAAATTTTGTTGCATTTTTCATTTTTCATTTTCATTTGTTTTGTTTGCATTTTTAATTACCATAATTTTGTTTGAATTAATTATCATGTTAATTTCTCAAATTGTTTTTCCAATCTTTCTTTTATCATTCATTCGGATCATTCACTCCAATAATGAATTACAACAGAAAGAAATTATCTAGATTTGTTTCATTTGATATTACAAATATATATATTGGACAAACGCAAAACGCAAACTTGACACAAACAATCAGATTAAAATCTTTTCAACAGCAATTAAATATATACAACAAGGTCCGAAGATATGTTTTGATTGTTTTTTTCGCAAGAAAAAAATCAACATGAAAAATCAACATGAAATGTCACCACCAAAAAAATAAAACAAGACGATTGAAATTGTCATTTGAATAAAATTTGAATGTTGTTTCTGTCTGTGTGTGTGTGTGGTATATTGCGTAATTTTTTCTTTTTTTCTTGTTTGACCATTTTGGTCAAACAAAATAGACTGAATTGTCATCATCATTTTGGAATGATGATTATTGTTTTTGTTTTTTTTTAAATCAATTATACCTGTAACTAAAGGGGAAAACAGTTTTTCAAATCAAAAAAAAAAAAAAATCAATAACCAAAGTTGTAAAAACAACAGAAATTGAAAAAATCTCTAATGGTAAATCACCTGATTGAATGACCTATATATAAAAATTAGATAATAGATAATACTAGATTATGTACAAATAACAATACAATAAGCAAACAAATACAAAATGATGTAAATGAAACAAACTGATAATCATCGCCATCCAAACATATCACATATCATTATTTGAGAATAATAATAATAATGACTTTTGGATAAATTGGAGCATTATTATTATTATTAAAACAGCGTAAAATATGTAATGAGGAATAAGGAACCTGACAAAAAAGCAAAAAAACAAAATAAGTGTTGACATTTGTCATATTTTTCAAACGAAACAAGGGAAAAACAACGACAGTGAGGAAACTTTTTTTTTGTCCAAAGAGATAATTTAATCATAATTAAAACAAAACAAAACAAACAAACATAAAGGAAACGAAATAACCAGAACAACAAGAGATTATTATCACCCGTTTTCTCGGGCAAAATCATTTTACATTTAAATTTTTCTGTTGTTTTTTCCAATTTTTTTTCTCTAAATTCATTTCTTTTCGGGTTGAAAACATCAAGAGAAAGAAAGAAAACCAAGAGAAATAACCAAGAAAAAATATCGAGTATATAAACATCGAACAAATCGATAGTAAAAATCATCATTCATTCATTCATTTTTCCAATCGAAAAACACGTTCAAAGAACAAAAAATCAAAAATCAACTTTTTCAACTTTTCAAAAATGTTTTCGGTAAATATTTTTTTCTTATTGAATGATTTACGTTGTAATTTTTTTTTCCGTAGATTTCAGTTTTTGTTTTTGCCATTATTGGTTTGGTATCAGCTACATATGGTTCCGGTGGCGGTGGTGGTGGTAGTCATTATGATCATTCAGTTGATGCTGCTGTAAAATCTAAACATTCAGTTAGTCTATATCCAGTACATAGTAGTCATGATCCGGGTAAAACACCGGTTGTTGATATTAATTCTGGTCCATTACCATTAACATTGCGTTTTAATTCACATTCATCACATATTAATGCTATACAAAAGCATTTTAGCCATCCTGGCCAGGTACAAAAACAGAATGCAATCGATGAACCAGATCTATTGATACAAAACATTAAGAAACCGGTAATCCAAGAAGTACGTGAAGTTATTGCACCATATCGACATCGTACACAAGAAGTAAGACCAGTTCGTGAACGTATTGAAACATTGATTGCTAAAGGTCAGGATGGTATGATTGGTGGTGGTGGTGGCAGTAGTGGTGGTGGTGGTCATGGATATGAACCATCCAAACATGTTCCATATCCACAAGAAGGATATTCAAAATGATTATAAAAAACTTTGATGAAACAAAAATGTAAACAAACAAACAAAAAAAAAAAACTCCAGATGATGATGCCTAATAATGTCAGTGTGTGTGTTTAAGTGTGTGTACTTTTAGAATAGTAATTTATCATTATTCCAATTCAATTAATTTAATCATAAAATGATAATTTCTTTTCTTTTTGTTGAAAAAATAAATTTTCTTCAAATCAAAAATTGAAAAATTTCAAATTTTTCACCATTTCAACATTGATGGCTCGATCAGGTGGATACAGGTTATATGCGCGCATTGCTCGATTTGCGCGGCAAAAAAAACGTTATGTTGTTTTGGTTTTGATGATGACAGTTTGCGCAACACTTTTACCTTTGTTTTGTGTTTGCTTTGAAATCTTGTCCAACATATTTTTCATCGATGATAATCTGAAAAAATAATGGATTCTTCTCAAGATTCTATTATTCTGCCACCAATAAATGAACCAAAATGTGAAGAATTATTTGATCAACTTTTTACTAAAAATCATGATCAAAATGATCCAAATGATGATGAACATTTAAATGTAAAAAAACCTATACGAACATATGAAAATGTCAAATCAAAAATTGTTCGATTCTGCGATGATGATAATTACCATGAAGATAATAGTGACAATTACAGTGAAGATGATCAAGAATCATTGGATGAAAATCATGTTCCATTATTCAATGAATTAGATGATAAACCAAAAAAAACGAAAAAGGTTAGAAAAAAGAAATTGGCATATCCAAATGTTTCGAAAGATGCCGTACTCGAAGCATTCCAGAAAGCTATCGAATCAAAAGAACTACCAGATTTTGATGAAATTGATAAATTTCCATTGGAAATTCGAATTGTTGAACAACAACAAGAAAAGAAACGGCAACGAAAATCCGAACGACAACAACCAATAAAAACACGAAAATCGATAAAGAATCAGAAGAAACCTGTCTTGTCAAAGGTTGATCAAAATCAAGAAAATGTTAACAACAAAATCGATAAAATTCCTGTACGTCGAAGTAATCGAAGTTCAAGAAAATCAAACATTTTGATGGAACAAAATCCAAACAAAACAAAATCTTCATCTACAAATGAAGAACAAAGCTGTACCAATGATTTATTTGTTTTGGATGAATCCTATATTTCTTGTATTAGTTCATCATCTTCTCATGGTAAATCGGATCAAAATTCGGAAAAATTAACCAATATCGATGATTTGACATTTCGAAAAGCTTCTGCAATCAAAAGCAGTACACCATTCAGATCAATACGAAGTCGAACATTGAGAAAACGATTAGCTTCGAAACATAATTTTACACCAAATTGATTTATTATCATCATCAAAACATGAAACCTTTTTTCTATAATTTTCTTTTATCTACTTATTATTCCATAACTTTTTTATTATTATCTTTTTTTTTATATTTATCATGCATAAACTTTTTCAAAAAAAATAAAAAAACAACTTGATATTATTTGAAAACGTACTTTATGAATAAATCTTTTTTATTATTATTTGACAATGGCCCCCCTCCCAAAAATTTTTGATGCCATTTTTTTTGTGTTTTGGCATGCCTGACTTTCAACGTTTTTCTTTTTAAAATTGTTTTGACTTTTTTGAAACTAATTAAGTTTTCTTCATTATGTACGACGAAGAAGATCAAATTGATGATGAAGAAACACCGGAGATTAGTTCGGAATTATGGCAAGAAGCATGTTGGATTGTTATATCATCGTATTTCGATGAAAAAGGTCTTGTACGACAACAGTTAGATTCATTTGATGAATTTATTCAAATGTCTGTACAACGAATTGTTGAAGATTCATCTACGATTGAAATCGAAGCCGAACCACAACATAAATCCGGTATCATTGAATCACCAACAACTTATACGATAAAATTCGAACAAATTTATCTATCCAAAGCTACACATTGGGAAAAAGATGGTACACCAACAGCAATGATGCCGAATGAAGCTCGTCTTCGTAATCTTACATATTCGGCTCCATTATATGTTGATATAATTAAAACAATAACACGTGAAAATCAAGAACCAATTCAAACGATGCATGAAAAAACTTATATCGGGAAAATTCCTATAATGCTTCGATCAACATATTGTCTACTTAATGGTCTAACTGATCGTGATTTAGCCGAATTAAATGAATGTCCACTTGATCCGGGTGGTTATTTCATTATAAATGGTTCGGAAAAAGTATTGATTGCACAGGAAAAAATGGCAACAAATACTGTTTATGTTTTTTCAATGAAAGATTCGAAATATACTTATAAAGCCGAATGTCGATCGTGTATTGAACATTCTTCACGTCCTACCAGTACATTATGGGTTAATATGTTAGCACGTGGATCACAAGGTGGTAAAAAAAATACTGTTGGCCAAAGAATTATTGCCATTATTCCATATATAAAACAAGAAATACCTATTATGATTGTATTTCGTGCTTTGGGTTTTGTTGCCGATCGAGATATTCTTGAACATATTATCTATGATTTTGAAGATCCTGAAATGATGGAAATGGTAAAACCATCATTGGATGAAGCTTTTGTTATTCAAGAACAAAGAATAGCATTAAATTTTATCGGTACACGTGGTGCACGTCCTGGTGTACCATTTGAAAAACGTGTTAAATATGCTAAAGAAATTCTACAAAAAGAAATGTTACCACATGTTGGTGTAGGTGATTTTTGTGAAACAAAAAAAGCCTATTATCTTGGCTATATGGTACATCGATTATTATTGGCTGCATTAGGTCGAAGAGAATTAGATGATCGTGATCATTATGGTAACAAACGTTTAGATTTAGCTGGTCCACTTTTAGCCTATCTATTTCGTGGTTTATTTCGTAATCTAACCAAAGAAGTACGAAGTTATGCACAAAAATTTATTGATCGTGGAAAAGATTTTCAATTAGAATTGGCTATAAAAACTAGAATTATTTCGGATGGTTTACGATATTCATTAGCTACCGGTAATTGGGGTGATCAGAAAAAAGCACATCAAGCTAGAGCTGGTGTTTCACAAGTACTTAATCGTTTAACATATGCATCAACATTATCACATCTTCGACGTGTTAATTCACCGATTGGTCGTGATGGAAAATTAGCTAAACCTCGTCAATTACATAATACACTTTGGGGTATGATTTGTCCGGCCGAAACACCCGAAGGACATGCTGTTGGTTTGGTCAAAAACCTTGCACTTATGGCTTATATTTCTGTCGGTTCACAACCATCACCGATTCTAGAATTTTTAGAAGAATGGTCAATGGAAAATTTGGAAGAAATCGCTCCATCAGCTATTTCGGAAGCGACAAAAATTTTCGTAAATGGTTGTTGGGTTGGTATTCATCGTGAACCAGATTTATTAATGAATACATTACGAAAACTGCGACGACAAATGGATATTATTGTTTCCGAAGTATCAATGGTACGTGATATACGTGATCGTGAAATTCGTATCTATACAGATGCTGGTCGTATTTGTCGTCCATTATTGATTGTTGAAAATCAAAAATTATTATTAAAACGTTGCCATATTGAACAACTAAAACATCGTGAATATAATAGTTTTAGTTGGCATGATCTAGTTGCATCAGGTGTTGTTGAATATATTGATACATTGGAAGAAGAAACCGTAATGATAGCAATGACACCAGATGATCTACAAGAATCGGAAAATCCATATTGTTCAACATATACACATTGTGAAATTCATCCATCAATGATACTTGGTGTTTGTGCATCAATCATACCATTTCCTGATCATAATCAATCACCCAGGAATACATATCAATCAGCTATGGGTAAACAAGCTATGGGTGTTTATATTACAAATTTTCATGTTCGTATGGATACATTAGCACATGTACTTTATTATCCACAAAAACCATTAGTAACAACACGTTCAATGGAATATTTACGATTTCGTGAATTACCGGCCGGTATTAATTCAATAGTAGCTATTATGTCATATACTGGTTATAATCAGGAAGATTCAGTCATTATGAATGCATCAGCAATTGATCGTGGTTTTTTTCGTTCAATATTTTATCGTTCATATAAAGATTCTGAACAAAAACGTTTAGGTGATCAAGAAGATCAATTTGAAAAACCAACAAGAGATACATGTCAAGGAATGCGTAATGCTATTTATGATAAATTAGAAGATGATGGTATTATTGCACCTGGTACTCGTGTTTCAGGTGATGATGTTATTATTGGTAAAACAACAACATTACCTGAAAATGATGATGATTTAACTGGTGGTGTTAAACAATATACAAAACGTGATGCAAGTACATTTTTACGTAATAGTGAAACTGGTATTGTTGATCAAGTTATGATAACGGTTAATAATGAAGGTTATAAATTTTGTAAAATTCGTGTTCGTTCAGTTCGTGTACCACAAATTGGTGATAAATTTGCATCAAGACATGGTCAAAAAGGTACCTGTGGTATTACTTATAGGTAAGCTATTCTAATGAATTCTTTTTTCAATTTGACCAAATTCATTTTATTAATGAAAAATTTTTAGACAAGAAGATATGCCTTTCACTTGTGAAGGTATTACACCGGATATTATTATTAATCCACATGCTATACCATCTCGTATGACTATTGGTCATTTAATCGAATGTTTACAAGGTAAAGTTTCAGCTAATAAAGGTGAAATTGGTGATGCTACACCATTCAATGATACGGTTAATGTACAGAAAATTTCTGATCTTTTACATGTAAGTTTAGTCGATTGTTTTTTTTTCATTGATTTACAATAATAATTCTAATCTTTTTTTAACAGGACTATAACTATAATCTTCGTGGTTATGAAGTAATGTACAATGCACATACTGGTCGTAAGGTTAATTGTCAAATTTTCCTTGGTCCAACCTATTATCAACGATTAAAACATATGGTTGATGATAAAATTCATTCACGTGCACGTGGACCGGTTCAGATTCTTGTTCGTCAACCAATGGAAGGTCGTGCTCGTGATGGTGGTCTTCGTTTTGGTGAAATGGAACGTGATTGTCAAATTGCACATGGTGCTGCACAATTTCTTCGTGAACGTTTATTCGAAGTATCCGATCCATATCGTGTTCATATTTGTAATTTATGTGGTCTAATCTGTATTGCTAATCTACGTACGAATACATTCGAATGTAAAGGATGTAAAAATAAAACACAAATCTCACAAGTTCGTATACCATATGCTGCTAAATTATTGTTTCAAGAACTTTTATCAATGTCGATTGCACCAAGATTAATTGTGACATGAATTATTTAATTGAAATTTGAATTTTATTATTATCCAAAAATAACTAATGAAATTTACAATGATTAATTTCACAATAATAATATTTTTTTTCTTTTTTGATTACAAATCTATTCAATTTAATAAAATCAATTATTTTTTTGGTTGATCTTGTTTTTGTTGCTGTTGCTGCTGTGATTTGATCATCAGATCGGTTTCGAGTTGTAAACAGGCTCGTTCAATTTCATAATTTTTACCAACTAATGTAACCCAATTTTCTTCAAGAATTTTTATCTGTTCTCCGGCTTGTAGTTGGCTATTTTTCCGTGATAAATTAATATCCTGAATTTGTTTTCGAATTTTTTCTAAATGAGCTTTTGATCGAGCCAATAATTGTGTCAAAATTGAATTATACATTTTCCATGTTTCTGCTCCATATTGTCCTAATAGTTCAAGATTTTGTATTCGAATTGCTTGATGTTCAAGTTGTGCAAATGAATTTTCCATACATTCTTGCCATGCCCATATATCGTTTAATTTACCGGTCGATGGTGATGGCAATTCATAACGTTTCATATTCAATTGTTCCATTGGTTGTCCATTATTCAGACGTTCAAATTCAGCACGTAAAATATCGGTCTAAATGGAAAAAATTAATAGTTTGAAAAAAAACAGGATAAACAAATATAATTTTTTTACCTCAAATTTGGTTATATCCATAGTTGCAATATGTGGTAATGATTCTAAATAATTTTTAGTTGGACGATATCGTTTAGTTTCATCTTCAACCATTTGTGCAACGGCTAAACGAACTTCAGGATTATTAAATTCATTATCAATATAAGGTAAAGCATCAACAAGATCGGAATTCATTTTGTTTTTTGTTTTTTGTTTTCGGTTATGAATAAAATTCAATTTTATAAAATTATTTTTGACAAATGCTAAAAAAAACTCAATTTTATTTCAAAAAGACATGTTTTTTTTCTTGTGAGAAAACTATTAACACCTTTTTGGAAGCAGTGCCGTCAAAATAGCAAAATCGAATATCGAAAAAAAAAATATTCGCATGTGAATGGCTAAAAATAAATTATCATTTGACCTAATCATGCCACTTGTTGGTTGTAGACAAAGTAGCGGTTTAGATTTATTTCTTTTATAATTTTTTTTTTGTTTTCGAATTTAAATTTTAAATGTTTAATTTTCATTTTGTAAACATCATCATCATCCATCCAATGCTGTGATTCGAATCAAACCAAAAAGCAAAACAAAAAGAGCTTATGTTTTTCATTTTGTCAACTGATTGAATTTCAATAAAATATTTGATATACACCAAATGAGTCAGACAAAATCACCAAGTATATTATTTTCATTAAATTCCAATACAAACATAAGGTATGAAGAATTTGATGAATGTCAAGGAGAAGAGACCACAAATGATCCGAATAATGAATCGAAAAATCCAATAACTGCACATGATTGGCAATCCTATAATACTCAAGATGTTTTTGATGATGGAACGCAAACATTTTTCTGGTAATTTTATCTTTTTCATTTACCACTGTTTATTGATAATGTTTACATTTAAAACAGGAGAGCCCATACATTGACCGTATTATTTTTCATGCTCACCGGTTTGGTTTATGTGGCCCTTTTTGAAGAGCCATCATTGGATACAAATTATAATGTTAAACGGTATAAATTTCCAATGAATAAGATGTTTATTTATACAAATTTTATTTTAGTGGCTTAGTAGCTGTTATTTTAGTTTTTATATTGTTTGGTATAACACAAATTCCAGATGGGCCGTTTATACGTCCACATCCTGGTAAGTTGATTGATTGATTTTTTCGATGATTATTTTAATAATTATACATCTGTTTTTTACAATTTTATAGCTTTATGGCGATTGGTTTTATGTTTAACAATTATCTATGAGCTGTCACTTATTTATATTTTATTTCAAGTAATTATTTCTTTATCAAATTTGATATTTTGCTTAAAAAAAACATAATTTTATTATCTATAGACACCAGACGATGCTCGTAAATTATTAACACATATTGATCCATCGCTTGGAAAACCATTAATGGAAAAAGATTATGGTGGCAATTGTAGAATATATGATCATGAAAAACCAGATGATCCTTTTCATAATGTAAAAGATAAGATTGATATTTTTGTTCCGACACATTTTTTCGGCTGGTGGCTTAAAACATTGATGATAAGAGATTGGTGGCTTTGTACAGTTATTAGCATAATGTTTGAAATATTAGAATATACTTTAGAACATCAGCTACCAAATTTTAGTGAATGTTGGTGGGATCATGTATGTATGAATGGCAAAAATAGAAAAGCTTTTTTAAAAATATTTTCAATTTTCAGTGGATTCTGGACGCATTGATTTGTAATGGATTTGGAATCTATTTAGGAGTGTTATCGCTCAAATATTTATATATGAAACCATATGATTGGCGTGGTCTTTGGAAAATTCCAACATATCGTGGAAAATTGAAACGAATTGTTGCTCAATTTGGACCACACAGTTGGCTACAATTTGATTGGCGACCATTTTCAAGTTTTGATCGTTGGATTGCTACATTGTTAATCATCGTTTCGGTAAATATAATTTTAAAATGAATAAATCTTTTTTTAAAATTCATTTGTATCATCTATAGATGTTGGTAGCCGAATTGAATACTTTTTATTTAAAATATGTTCTATGGTTGGAACCTCCACATATCTTAAATCTTATACGATTAATATTGTTGGTATTTTCCGGTGCTGTTGCATTACGAGAAACGTTCCAATATCTAGATGATCCGTAAGTTTGAAATCTTTTTTTTATCTCGATCTTAAATAATATAATTTTGCTTTTATAATTTATAGACAATGTACAAAATTTGGTCGTCAATCATGGGTGTTGATTGCAATCATTATAACCGAACTGTTGATAATATTAAAATTTGATTTTGAAGTAATTACGAAACCACTGCCTAAACATATTCGTTATTCATGGATCGGGGCCATAATCATTCTTGCTGTTTGGACAATTTGGAGATTTTTATTAAAAAATACTATACAATTTATGTATCAAAATAGAAGACCCAGTGTTATTTCATCGAATAATGTTGTTATTCGACGAAAAAATTCAAGAATCAAAAAATTGCAATAAAAATGTTTTTATTTTTTTGTTGTCAAAAGAAAAATGAAAAAAATCATTGTTTTTGTTTATGCAACCAATGCTGAAGCGGTCGATGATTCGTATCGCCAGTTTGGTGCAAGAACGCTTTTGGTTTTAAAATAACGAGCCAAACGATGAATACGGCTTTCGACCAAAATCAATCGAAATTTAGCATCTTTATCTTTTCGGTTTCGTTCTAAATGTTTGCGAATAGCAACAGCCTTTTTGATCAAATAATATAAATCTTCGGGCAATGATGGTGCCAGACCACGTTTCTTAAGAATTCGTAGGATTTTGTTACCAGTCACCCAACGAACCTGAGCAACGCCATACCAATCTCTCAACATAACACCAATTTGTGATGGTCGCATACCTTTTTTTGCCAATTTACAAATATGATCGACTACATCATCGGTTGTCAATTTAAGCCACTAAAATTGAAATTAATTTGATTGAAAAATCAATAATTAAAGATTGAAATTTGTTCAACTTACACTTGGAACACTGCGACGATATGGCAAAGCTGATTGGGATATACCCTTGCTAAGAATTTCGGACAAATTTATAGATTAAAACATTTAGAAATTATCGCAGATATTAAAAAACATACCCAGGTGCATGCATACGACCCATTTTGTTGGAATTTTAGTTGAAATTATCGTAAAAAAATCAAACAATTCACACGTGAAAACCGTGAAACGAAAAGAAAGAGCGGAAGCATTAAACACAAGTGAGCTGTGAGAAAGAAAGAAAAAAGCATGCCACAACACTAAAATTGGAGCCAATCATAGAGGATAGGATAGGATTTTCTCAATGGAATCCTTCGCTGTATCGATCATAGATGGCAGTGGCAATGGTGATTTTATCCATATAAGCAGCCAATCATATTTGGCCACAACATCAACAACAACAACGATATTTTTTTTCCAATCAAAAACTGAATGAGCTTTTCCATTTTGTTACAGCTGTATTTTCGTGAATGGATTTTTTTTTTCTTCATATATTTACGTTAGCGGCAATGTTAAATGAGCTACATTATCAATGTTATATATTTTTTCGTTCTTTTTAAAACATCTATCATATTGATCAAAAAAAAAAAATTTTGCTGCTGTTTGTTGGTGTATGTCATATTTCACCAGAAATTGATTTTTGCATATAATAATTTTAAAAAAAGAAAGAAAATCATTTTATCATCACAATCACATCACATCAATATAATTAAATTATACAACGTCATCATTTGTTATTATTGTTGTTGTTGGGTTTTGGGTTGAAATTTATTGGATCGAATTATTTTTCTGGTTAACAAATCAATTTTTTCGTTGTTGTTCTCGATAATTCCAACAACAAAAAGATCAAATTTTTTTGCTAAAATATCGTTGTTTTTTTCAACAATTTTTGTTAGCCGATTGACAACGAACAACGAAAAAAATGATTGAAGATATTTGTCTGGTTATAAAAGCTGCAAATCAAAAATATGATGATGTTAAAGTTGATTGTCAACTTTCATGGTCAATTCTTGATTTAAAAAATTATCTTAGCATTAATTATCCATCCAAACCTGTAATTATTGATTGTTTTTTAATTCAATATCGACCGTTTATTAATTTGAATTTTGTTTTTTTTATAGAAAATAACCGATCAAAGAATAATCTATTCCGGTCATTTATTAAAGGATAACCAATTATTGTCAAACATTATCAAACTATCTGATTCATCATCATCATCATCATCATCGAATGAAGATCGTTTACAAAATACATTCATTTTTCATCTTGTTTGTCCTCAAAAACATTTGACCAAAAACAACAATGATACGGCAAATACAATAAATGTAACAACAAATGGATCTTCATCATTGCCATCATCATCATCGAATAATTTGGATGCTTTTCCAAACATTACAGGTTCAAGTCAATCATCATCAACACCGATGCCAACACCAACAGCAGCAGCAGCCGCTTGGAATCAATTCAATCAAATGAATATACAAATGGGACCAGATAATATGTTAATGCAACAATCGTATCAAATATTAATGAATCAATATTATCAATATATGAGCTATTATTTTCTATCATCACCACCAATTGATTTTGTTTCATATGCTGCATTTACAAATGCTTATATGCAATCAATTCAACCGGTAAATGATAATCAACAACAACAACAACAACAATCAAATTCTATTGGAACAACATTGAACAATATTCGAAGTAATTCGGTACCGGCAACTGATAACAACAATAATAATTTGAATAACAATCGAATTAATAATCGACAACAACAACAACAACCTCAAGCAGCATTAGGAGGAGTAGGTGTAGCAGCAGCAGCAGTTGTAATCGATAATGATGATCTTATGAATCGTGATTGGACTGATTGGATGTATTCATTTTCAAAAGCTATCATTATGTTAAGCATTATATATTTTTATTCATCATTGAATCGTTTGGTATTGTTTATGTTAATCTTTTTAATCATTTATTTTTATAAAAATCTTCTTAATGGTATACATCAAGCTAATGGTGGTGGTGGAAGAGGAAATAATAATAATAATAATGATATTCGAATCAATAATGATCGTAATAATCCAGTCAATCAGAATAATAATAATAATAATGAACGAATTAATCAGGCAAATATACATGCTGATTCTTTGGAAAACAATCATCATCAACAACAACAACAACAAGATGATGATGGTAATAATAATAGCCAATATTATTCAGGATTACGATTTGTTTGGATGTTTATTACATCATTGTTTACATCATTAATACCGGATCCAGTGCCCATAAATTAGTTTATTCAACAACAACAACACGAAAATCTGTTTTTGTTATCTTTTCACACACACATATATTAAACTGATACACAACAACAACAACAACATATTCATTTCTTTTTCAAACAAAAATCTGATAAAAATCTGTTTTTTTCCTGCTTCTTTAGAAAATTTCTAATGATTTTCATTCATTTTCAAATGATCTTTTTAAACAAACAAAACAAAATTATATAATAAATCCGTTACTAGTCTGGCATATGAAACAAAGAAAGGTGTTTTGACTTTATGATTGATTGATGGGATCAAGGTTGAAATTTATTCAAGTTTTTTTTTGGTAAAACAAAATTCGTAGAAATCTCAATAGTGGATGGATTGATTTTCTTTGTTTTTAGGTAGATAGATTTGTTTCATCAAATTGATCGACGAATTTTTTTCACTGATGATGATGACGAAGATGTTGGTGGTGGTGGTGGTGGTGATCCTTCTCCTGATGAATTCAACCTGTTCAGAATATGGATAAAGAGGGGGGAAAAAATTGAGAAAATTTTTTTTTCAATTAAAATATTTTGTTTTAAAAGGAAAAAGGAAAAAAAGAAAATGATTAGTATCACCCATAGTCAGTGTATAGAGAGGCAGAAAATGATTGTTATTTGCTGGGAGGAAAAAAAAGTTGATTCGGAAAAAAAAGATTTTCGTTTTGCATTGTCTTTACATTTAATCATTTTAATTTAAACAAGAAAAAAATGGTAGATTATTTATGAAAAATAATCATGGATGTTCATTATAATTTGTTTTTTTTTTGCTATTTTCAATTTCATAAGCAAGAGAATCTGATGAAGAATAATAATAATAAACGATAACTATTTATATATTTATGATGAGGAAATTATTGGATATAGATTCTTCTTTGTAAGAGATATTTACACAAACAAACAGACAAATGATTTTTGTTGAAAAGGCACCCGATGAAAAACAAATAGCAAATTTTGAAATAAAGTAGAGAGAGTAAATCATAATAATTTATCGACAGTAATATTTTCATTCTGTCGTTTAAAATAGATAGCCAATCCAACACAGATGGCCACACCAAAACAGAATGAAAATGTTTTAAAATATTTGTTAAATTTTTGATAAAATTTTAACCTTTCTTCCACTTCTTTTTGTTTTCGTTTAATACGTTGTATTGTTTCCATTATTTTCTTTCTTTTTTCTTCACGTTCTTTATTTCTTTCCAGTAGCCGTTCATCATCATGACTATTTCTATTATTATCGGTAATGCTTAATTCATTATTTGGCAGTGAGTCATTATTAGTTTGATCATCAATTTCTTCAGTTATGAATTCTTCATATTCTTCATCATCGTCATCGTCATCATCATCATCATAACCATCATCGGATAAATTATTACCATTTTTATCATTGGCAACAGTATTATGATTAAAAACAATGTTAGAATGTTCAATATTAGCTGAATATTCTCCTTTGTCATTATCATCAACAAAACCAAATGATCGTTTGATTTTAACATTATTAGATGTATTAGTTTTGATATTTGTTTGTTGTTGTGATATTTGATGATTTGTTTCATTAGTAATTTGTTTTGAGCCTTCAAGTATGGCCATAAATGAAAAACGTAATTGATCATGTGTTTGTATTAGACCCATACGATAAGTACGAAGCTCTAATAACACATCAATTATGTTGATTGAATCTCTGCATTTATTTTTTTCAATCTATTTGAATTTTTTTGAAAAAAGTATAAGATTTTTATCACTTTTAAATTGAATTTTAAAATAGTTACCATTACAAGACATGAATCGACTAAAACAAACGTTCCGGATCTACCAATACCAGCACTACAATGAATCACAGGTGGTCCATATTGTTCAATATTTAAACAACCTGATTGCCTAACGGCTGATAAAAATTCTAAAAACGAATCACAACTTCGTGGTAGATCAAAATCTGGCCAGGATGTATAATGAAAATGTAAAATCTCTCTGGAAGTTTCAGTCTATATTCATATGGTGATAGTATGAGAAAAAATTGATCAATTTTAAATGATAAACACTTACCAGTAAATCATATAGGACAAATGTTCTTAAAATATAGAAATTAAATTTTTCCATCGATTTTAATTGAACTTTAAGGCTAACATCATCGAAAAATAGTTCATCAATATCATCTTGATTTTGACCATCAGGCCAATATTTATGGCATTTAATTTTACCACATTCAATTAGATTATTGAGCATTAATATAGCTCTAGATTTTTGTTCCCATATCATTAACCAAAAATGACCAGATGTATTTGGCAAAGGACCCTTTTTTTTAATGGTAATTTGATCCAACAGAAAAAAAAATATTTTAAATGATGAGTTTTTTTCCATTTAATATTCATTATACTTGCCTGTGTAAGTATATAATTACGATTAGCTAATGGTACAGAAACATGACTGGCATTGATATAATTCAAATTATATCTTTCCAATTTGACACGAGTCTTATCATCTAAATATTGATTATTAATAATCAATGAACAATCAATAAACAAATCAATCAATCAATCAATCAATAAACAAATCAAATCAATTAATTACATACATGGTACAACATCAGTATAACGATTTAATCGGTTATATTCAATTTTTCTTGATTCTTTGCTGGGAAATAATTTTGACATTGAATTCATATTCTGAAAAACAAAAAAAAAAATTCCCAATAAAAAAAAATATTTAATAGAATCTTTAACAAACCCGGAAAATTTTTCGCCATTTTTCATTCTTTTCATAATCATGAAATTCGGCTTCCATGTTTGATGAATATGAATGAAATGTTGTTGAACGAATAAATTTATAAACAAAATGAATGTGATATGGATATGGTGATTTTAGATATGTTCAAAATGAGATCTTGAATGAATAAATGAATGAAAATGGAAAATAAATGCAAAATGTCAACATTGCGTTTGAATTGATGATAATGTTGTTGTAGGTTTTATAAATGAATCAAAAATGACATGATCATAAAAAAAATCATAGACCGGGTGGTTTTGTTTTTGTTATTTGTTGACGTTGAAAATTTCGATCCAAAAATTGATTCAAAATTTTGTCATTTCTTTCTGGGGAAACAGAGTTCCAACAGAAAACTGTCACTCAAAAAAAACACAAACAATTTATGTAAATAAAATAATCAACCAAAAGAATAATAATAATAAAAAAATGTTTTTCTTCAAGTTATCGTCGTCGTTGTTTTCTTCTTTTTTAACGACTTATTATTATTGTTGTTGTTTTTCTTCAATTTCAACAAAAACAAAACAAAAAATTTATTTATTTTTCAAGATTCGACTCTTCTTCGACGGTTGCTGTCATCACATAAACACACGAATCACATTGAGAAACCAGAAATATGAATGAATGAAGAACGCAGAAGAGAATCTATATGAAAAAATGAATGAATGATGAAAGAATACACAGCGGCCGCAAATATATAATGATGATGATGATGAAAAGCAACAACGGTTTTATGCAATGTTTTTTTTCTTGTTTTTTTGCTTTTTTCACTTCACCCTCTCGACGATCAAAAGCCATGCAATCACAGTTTTTCCATTCACACAAAACACACAGCGAAAAATAAAATGAAAAAAACATTCGAAATCGAACAGCAAGAGAAAGTGAGAGAGAAAGTGATGAACGAATTCAAGTATACGTTGCTCATGGAACCGATATATCGATTGTTTGTTTGTTTACGGTTATGGCGATGGTGATAAATGTTCGAATCAGAAAGGAAATAAACTTTTTCCAAATATGAATTTTTTATGGGGGGAAAAAAATGTTAATCGTTCATTATCAATAATCACTAATCATTTTTCCCATTAATCGATGTTATTTCAATGTTTTTTTGATAAACAAAAATTTAGATCAAAACAAAAAAATTTTGTTTTTGTTAAACTAACAATTTGTGGCGGATGATGATTGATGCCAATCGATGCAATCTCAAACATATAATCCAATGATGACAATGCATATTTTTTAAAGGAAAAAAACTAAATCCAATTTTGTCATACGGAAATCTATCTTAAACAAACCAAACCAAAGGAAAAAAAATTGATTTTGATTTTCAATTGAAAAATAACTAGCTAATAGAAATAATAGATGGCAGCACCACTCTTTTTGTATTTTTGAAAAACGTTCGATTTTTGTTTTTTCGGATTCCATATCCTATAATGGTGATGGTGATGAATTTCAATGAAAATCATTTCGATGAAAACCCGTGTTTTTTTCGTTTGTTTGTTTGAACAGTGAAAGGCTAGATGATATTCCAACAATGTTTATTTATTTTATTTTATTCAAATGAAATATTGAAAAATCCAATCAAAAATGAAAAAGATATGCTTGTCGTTGGTTATAGGCAAGATTTTTAATTTTGCTTCGTTTTGCTTCGTTTTGTCAACAAAAATGAAAGTCGAAATGAAAAAAAATGACACACGCCACATCATCATCATCCAAAAATCATCATCATTCGAATAACAATGTATCATATGAACCATATGATGTTTTTTGTTGTTGTTGTAACAATTCTTGGTTCGTAAAAACTTTTCATTCGAAAAATGTGTCTGCCTGCCCATGTATTCATGTCAATCAAACTAAACTAAACATCTAAATCATCAACAACAACAACAACATTAGTAGATTCAATTTGTTAGATAAAGCAAAAAACGAATGAATTGAATAGACTTCTCTTTTTTTTTACATTTATCTAACAAACGTAAAACGTTTTCATTTTACTAGTGACAAGATGTTTTGTGTTTGTCCACAATTCATTCATTCATCAAGCAGCAAAGAAAAAAACATCCAAATGAATCAATGATAAAAACATACGTAGTTTCTGTGATGTGACAAACGCCTTTTTTTCCATTTTTTTCGTTCATATGAATTTCAAATGGAGAATAAGTAAAAGTGAGTGAAAAATGAAAATGATTGAATGCTCAATTGGTCCAGAATAAAAGACCAACAAATTAGGTATGTGTGTCTGGTATGCTTGGTGTGTGTCGAGCTTTTTTTCTTTTCTTTTTCTCGTTTTGTTCATCTTGTTTCCGTGATTGATTTTCAAATGAAAAAATTCTAATTACAAATCATCATTGAGGAGGAGGTGTGTGTGCGGAGTTTTTTTATTGATGAAATTCCTAATTTTCCAAATAGAAAAAAAACGATGGACACATGTTCGATGATGAACGAAATCATCGTCAAACAATCGATTCGAATGTTTTTTTCGAACTGTCTGTCCGTCTTTCTGGTTCGCGAATATTGTCGGTTGATTGAATTTGATTTGTAACAAATTTTCTTTTTTTTCTGATTCAATTCCAGGTTCCAGGTTCCCAAAAAAAAGAAAACATTTTTTTGTGTGGCCAATCAATAAGTCACGTGGCTTAAATAATGTATTCCATTAGAAGAAGAAGAGAAAACGAAAAAAAGTGTACAACAAAATGAAGAGAAAACTTTTCATTTTCGCTGTAGCGTGTATGTTAAACAACAACAAAAAATGTCATATTTTGTAAGTAAAACATATTTACAGGTCATTTATATTTATCCTGGTTGTTGATTATGAATAGAATATGCTTCTTTTTTATTGATTAAATAATGATTATTATTGGTGGTGGTGGTGGTGGTGGTGGTGGGTTATCTTTAACCAAAACAAACGACAACAAAATACTCGAATTTTATACACAAGAAAAGCTGTGACATTTTCATTCGATTCAATTCAATTCAATTTTGGAGAAGAATATATATAGCCCATAGGCAACTTGCCATACAAATATCGAAATCAAATTGGGTGAATGTGGATATTGTTGATGTTGATGATGATTTGCACGAATCGCGTGAATTCGATTCAAAATTGATGATGATGATGATGATTATGGTGGTTAAAAGTTTTTTCTTCATTCATATTCTTTCACTCCAAAAAAACAGAGAAAAGAAGCTAATGGCTTTTCAACTAACAACGATTCTTGATCAATTTTTTTTCTTTCGTTGTTGTTTGAGACAATAAATAATAACGATTATTGTTGTTGTTGTTGTTGTTGAATTTCTTTTGCCTTTTTTCCCATTTCCATTTTCAGTTTGGCCTAAAAATATTGCAATTTTCATTCACTCACTTCATAATAATGTGGTTTTTTTTGTTTTGTTTGTTGAGTTTGCTGCTAATTGAATTCGATATGGAACTCTATCTTCATCCATTCAGACATGCATCAATCGTTACTGATCCATTAGCCGAGTAGAGAGAGAGAGAGAGAGAAAAACCGCATATACAAATCGATAAGTGATGCTAACGATTATTATTATTATTATTTATTACAAAGCTGCAGGGCTGATGCTTGATGATGGCCATCATGATGATCATCATTTCGAATGGAACGAATTAGTTTCAATGAATGAAAAATCTTTTCAAAAAACAAACCAAAAACCAAAAAAAAATAACAAAAAACATTGACATTTTCAATCTTTTAACCCGTTCATCACCCAATCATCATATGTCATTCAAAAATTGAACCACAACAATGGTAAAAATTTAGGGGAAATAAGGTCATCATCCGTATACAGGAAAATCTTGGCCTTTTGTTGATTTTCAAATTCTTTCTTTATGATTTTCCTATATCGACTAACCAAAATGATCTACAATGATGATGATGATCCTCATGGATGTTGATGACATAGACACGATAACAACAACAACAACAACAATATGAAACAATAGGATCCGGTCTAATAATTTTTTTTTCTTCCTTCCAAAAAGGAAGAAAAAAAAATTTGTGATATTTTCTTCAAGTGACAAGTATATTTTCTTCTCTGGGTATATGGTGTATTAAGTTTTTAAGATGTTGTTGTTGCTGTTGTTGTTGTTGATGATGATAAAATGATGATTCGGGAAATTTTTAAGGATATCCCGACTTTTTCCGTTTCCTTCCTGAATTGGTGTGTGTATAAAACAAACCAACCAAACAAAAAGTGTTTCACATTTGTTTGTTTGTTTGTGTGTGGTTAGTTGCATTCTTTGGTTGGTTTGCGTTTTTGTTATGGTTTGGTTTGGGATATTTATTTGTTTCTGGAAATGCCAATTGGTTTTTGTTTGTTTGTTTGCTTTTGTCTGTCTCTTTGTGTGTAAAAATTATCCGGATTTATCATTTGATCATTGATTGAAGAAAACCGGTGGCCGAAAAAATAATTAATCAAAATAACACACTGGAAAAAACCATTGTTGTTTTTTTACCGGATTTAAGAATTTCAAACAATAATTCTTTCGTTTGACAATTTCATTGCAAAAAAAAACTTTATGTAAACTATTTTTCTGGGAACTTTCTCACTGTGTAGAGAAAATGCCTATGTGGAGTGAAGCCAAGCAAACAAACAAGGTAAAAAATAAATTTTTTTCTGATTAAAATTCTTCATCAATGATGATTTCATCATCATGGATTCTGGTTATAGCACACACAGGAGGTGGTTGATTTTTTTTCCATATTATCCATGTGTTTTCATTATTATTATTGGCTTGACTGGCTTTTGGAACACCGGGTTTTCATTCATTCAATTCTTTAATTAAAAGATTTAAATTGAAAAATTCTTTATCGTTATCGCGAATATATAGTTAGAGAGAATTTTCATGGATATTTTCCTTCACTACAGGGCCACCCTTGGATTCTTTATTCAATGATGGCGATGATTTGATTTGATTTTCGAGAAAAACAAAACAAAAAAGTTTGTTTCGAAAATAAATTTTTTTGAAAAAAAGACCAAGGTCTCAGCTGTCCTAGAATTGATTTTTATTTTTCCAATTTTCCACTTTTTAGAATTGAAATTAACAAAGTTTTTTGCTAATAAATTTTGCCGACTTTTTTTTGGCCCAAAAAAGAATCGATTCAATGAAAAATTTCTTTTTCAA